GTTTAGAACAATATATACTAATTTTAAAGTATCAAATTGAATTTTTATTCAATAAAAATCTTTCAAATGCGACTAGCTTTTTTTCCCCCCAAAACTTTGTCTTCCAAATAAGGGTGTGTCTTATACACTGATACGTCTTATATTCCGAAAAATACGGTAATCAGTGACATGTGAAAGTAACACGTAAACATTAGGTAAAGCATTATGATTTGTAAAACATTGGTTCTGATTTATGTTAAATTTCTCACATTGTGGTTTATCTGAAAGTTTGTTTTAATGATAGTGGGAAAAAGCAGAGTGAACTAAGCTCCACATGTATTTGTAACTTCTGTTTTTTTGCATAGGGTGATATTAACAACTATTCTTTTTCTTGGTTGTTTGTATTTTCTTTAATAACTTTTTACAAGTGTAAGTTTTCTTTATTTGCTTCTGTTACTTGATTTTATCAGCATGTGTAGATATCACTGTTATACCCTGCTAGCTGATTTCAAAGTTATTCTTGAAAAACATTAGTTTTAATACTTAGAACAAAGAATATTTAATATTGCAAAATTCAAAGGTCTGTTAATAATCTGTGGTATTAATACAAGGTCTAAACCACAATGTGAGAAATTTAACATAAATCAGAACCAATGTTTTACAAATCATAATGCTTTACCTAATGTTTACGTGTTACTTTCACATGTCACTGATTACCGTATTTTACGGTTTACCGGTTTGTCTTACAGCCCTATCTTCTGCTAATGGTGATGTTTTTGTGAGGATCTTAGCTATGGATTGTTGCTCTGCAACTCATTTTCCACCTCAGAACACTTTCACACAGTACCTTGTGGTCAGTGCTGTTCCCCTCCCCTTTACATGCTTTTTGAATTTCATAAATGCTGCATAGCTGATGATGACTTCTGAGGGTCGGTTGGACAAACCCAGTTTACCCAGTGGTCAGTGCTGTTCCCCTCCTCTTTACTTGCTTTTCGAATTTCATAAATCGTGCATAGATGATGATGACTTCTGTTGGGTCGGTTGGACAAACCCAGAGGCACAAAATTCCTTTGAAGATGTCTGCAAATGGTATAACCTGAACTTCTATTTGTACTTCCATCTTGTATAGGAACTGACATGTTAACATGAATGTGTGTCCTGATGCTTTGTTTAGATGGAGCCATACTTTATTGGCATACAAATATTACCTCAGTGAAAAGTGGTGTCAGTAAGGTAACCTGACAATATGCAGATATTAAAATGGCATCTTTCTTTTTAACTTACCATTATAACTTAACTGTAACTATTACAAATCCCATGGGAAAAATTTTGCTACATGCTCTGTATCACGATTTAAATGTTGTATCACTGGCAGAGCTACAATAAATTGCTCAAACTTTTGCAGACACTTGCTTCATCCAATATGGCAACATACCTCTACTTGCCACATGGCACACGCTGCTTGAATAGCTTTTGATAGTTGGTGTTTCATTAAGATATGTGCTTTGAGACAAGCTTGCTAACATAGCTCTTGTGTTGCTTTATTGGACCTAACTCTGTGTTTGAAGTTCTAAGGTATGTCCTTACACAAGCTGCAACTGACTGCCATTTTGTTAGGTACTTACTGGTCACAAGCTGTTTACTTTTTTTTTACTCCATTCGATTACAGCTTGTCACGTGTGAAGTAGTTTGTTTTAAGTCATCCTTTCATTGCTTTAGAACCCCAGAGGTATCCATTTCTTCACCAAACACTAAAATTTTGTGCTATGCATGCTTTTATAATTGTGGAACAGAAGACCTTCACACCAAGAAGTCCTGTAATGTAGTTCCTCCCAATTTAGGTGTCATCTGTGCTTGCAACTCACAATGTTTCAAGTGAATTCCAAAAAAACAAAGATTGGGAATTTTATCCTCTGTACTCACAGGCCATGGGTGGCCAGGTGCATGGTGATTAGATATATAACTTGTTACCACAAAACATGAAGAACACTCTTCATATACAGTGAAAAAACTTATTTTCCACAGTCATTGTGTTAAGGCTTTGAGAAAGTAAACATTCATGAATATTCAACTTTCTTTTTAGGCCAGCACCTTTTTACCGGTCCAACCTTCCACCAGTTCTTGCCATTAGAAAAGATTTGATTCCATCCCATATCCGACCTGGATTGGTTGATGACTTCAACCGAGAAGACTGTGGACCTACAACTAACAACCAAGCCCTTTCTTCGGGCTATTTTTCAGATAATGTATACAGTAGAAAGCTTTCTGAAACTCCAGAGTTTCCACCAATAAGGAGACGTTGGTATAGTCAGGAAAATTTCAATCCACCACCCCCTGTAATAGAAGACCCACGATCTATCTCCCCACCAGTCCCTGCTATTCAAAAAAAACTGATGGGTAGTAGCATGGAGGAACTTTCTTCGGGTTTCACACCACGTAGGAAATGGAGTGATCAAGACAACTTTAATCTTGGTGGTATGGCCATTTCTCAACCTGTTGCTCACCGTCGTACATCACAGGACAGTAGGTCAGATTTGGTTCCCGAAGATCCTTTGAGAGGGGTAAGAAGTATTAAGAATAGCTTGCATTATTGCTTTTATGTTTAGAATCTGACATAACGACACTTAGGCATTCAATTTTTTTACTCGTAACCAGTTGCACCTTGATGAATTAAGTAATCAATAACTGATCAATTTATGAAGCAATTTGTACCTATGAATGATATTAAAATTAAAAACTTATTTAAGAAGTAAAAAACACAAGTTAACTAAAAATCAGTTCCCAAAATATACAGTTAATTGCTCGACTAATTTTGACCTACCCTTTAAAATGATATACGTGGTATGTCGAAAATAGTTGGGTAAGTTTTTCTTACATTTATTTTTAGTTAATTTGTGTTTTTTACCCCTTAAACATTCTGTTATTTTTAATATCAGTCAGTAATTGCTTGTGATTGTTCTTACTGAAGGGTATTGAATACAATTTTTTTACATTTAAAATTAATTGCAAGCAGATACTTAATTCTGAAATACATTCCATCCACATCTCAACAATCGGTAGATAGAATTGTGTGATGAGATAACATCTGCAAACAATGTAAACTTGCTTGTGATGAGAAAACATAACTTTAGTCAGGGGTTCTCAAACTGTGGTCCGTGGCCCCCTGGGGGTCCGCAGTAATACATCAAATTTATAAAATTACCATTTACTGAAAGAGTAATGAATAAAATAAAATGCTATATATATCCCAAATTAATAATTGTAGTTAACATAAATTGAATTATGTAAATTCGTTGTGTGCCTGGCACTGTTGCCTGCTGATCACAAAAAACAAGACACTTGATTTCCAGTTGGATTGACGCATCACTATGGTGTGTATGCTAGTGTCACAATTAATAGTTATTACAATAATTATATGGTTACTACAGGTGTCAGTGACAGTGAGTTATAATTTCTTTCAAGAATATTGACATTTTTTAAGTTACCCATAAAATAATGGATCAGTTGCTTAAATCTAGAGTAATAACAAACCGGAAGCATAGTGACAGGCCTAGTGGTAGCCCTATTGCAGTTGCTTAAATCTAGAGTAATAACAAACCGGAAGCATAGTGACAGGCCTAGTGGTAGCTCTATTGCATTAGGCTCAAATGTTGGAACTTTGGAGTATGAATCAAAACAGAAAAGGCATAAATATTGTGATGATTATTTAGCATTTGGGTTTACTTGTGCTGGGCTAGAAAATGATCAAAAACCTTTGTGTTATGTATTATGATGTATTAACTAATGAAAGCATGAAACCATCCAAGCTTCATAGGCATCTTGAAACAAAACATAATGAGTATAGTAGCAAATCTGTTAAATATTTTCAAATCAAAGAATGTGAAATGTGTAGAAAACAAACATTATTAGAAAAAATAACAACTGGTTGCAATAATGAAAAAGATATATTTGCTTTGTATGAGGTATCTCTTTTGATAGCACAGACTGGAAGTCCACATACTGTTGGAGAGGAACTCATTTTTAGCAGCTGCAAAAAGTAATGTCAGGTGCAATGCATGGAAATAAAGCAGCAGAAGTAATGTCAGGTGCAATGCATGGAAATAAAGCAGCAGAAGTAATGTCAGGTGCAATGCATGGAAATAA